GGTGGCCAGCCGCCATCCCCAGGGGACAGCAGGCTGCGGCCACCTCACGCCTGCTTGGGGCACGGGGCGGGTGACAGCTCTAGGGATCCTTAACGGTTCTGCTGCAGGGGTCATTAATGGCTCCTCCGTCGTGTCCGTCCGCGTTACCGCACTCGCAAGTGGGCACGCGCATCGCGAACGCTTTGTCCCCCTGCGGGGTGTCGCCGCTGGCCTGCCCTGTGGAAGGGTGCCGTGTCGTCCTCGCCTGAGGCAACGGCGGGCTGATGGAAACAAAGATGGAAAAGTCCAGTTTAACTGGATGGGTGATGTAGATCTACTAATACTCAAAAGTACCAGCTTGGTTTTAATAATGCTTTTCATCCAATGAGGCATCTTGGGACACTGTTTATAGGACTGAAGTAGACTTGGCTCCCGTTGTTCTGCCACTATTAAAGTTTTGAGAAAGAAGAGCAGCTGGCAATTACAGTAGTCGGCGGATAACACTGCCGGTGGGCAGCGGGGAAGCTGTCCCACTCCTCTGACCAGAAGCTTCGCCCCGCGGTGGCTTCCTTGAAATCAAGACTTTGCATACAGTACTGAGAATTTATAGGATGCAAACCAAGTCTAGTTACACAAATGCATGATGTAGTCCACTTCTGTATTTTACCTTGATGCATTTCAAGGTGTATTCGTCTTCCACGGATGTCCTGAAACCAAACTTCTAAATAATTAGCATTAAAAATCATCTTGTATCATTCATAATTCAGAGGCAGTTCTCTAACAGGAGTGCTGAACAGGGCTTCTGGAAAGGCGGGTGACGAAGACGCCCTCCACAGATGCTTGATCAGAGCACCAAACGTGGGCCAACGTACCCCAACCCTGCTCCTGCTCCTGCTGCTGCTACAAATGTGTCTCAGCTGCGTTCGTGGTGCCTGGAAGGAGCCTGGGGTCACTCAGCGGGGCATCTGCACAGGACAACAAAGTTTTTTGTTACAGCGCTCGTACTGAGCGACAGCACTGCAGGTCTTACATTCAATTTTCAGTTCAATTTGATTAACACAGAGAAGCAAGTTTCTCCACTCCTAAATTATAGACGGCAAAGTTGAAGCTCAAAATCATGCAGCACGCCATCACCATGGGAAAATCTCCAGCGTACTAATTCCCATGCAATACAGATCATCTGCTGGGCTGACAGCATTGATGAAGTTCCTTCTCAACCACTATTGATCAACAAAGATCTACCTGCTCACAGTAATTGTTTTGAGAGGTACTGTACTGGTACTTAAAAACCCTCACTCATTAAATACTTGCATTTAGTAGTGGTTTTTGTCTAAAACTTACACTTGAACCAAGGTGGGGGAAAGAAGAAAGTATGGGAAGTGTACATTACTGGACCTCTCACAGATAGCTAAATCATCCAGAGATGTCGATTCTCCGAAAGAAGTTGAAAGACTGAGATGCAGCTGATGTCAATAGTATCACAGGTAAATTAAACTCTCAAGTAAAGTCTAAAAATGATAGAATTTTTCACTTGCTAGCAGAACTGACAAACAGAAGCAGCAAATTATGATGTCTCCTGTGAAAATTTATAGCATTAATTAACATTTTTCTGCTCAGTTAAACCAAATAGTACTCGGTGCTAAGACCTGATTAAGAACACCTCAGAGGAAGGGTCCCAAGTCTCCACTGCAAAGCAGTGAGATTCCAGCTGGCATGACTGCAGAGAGAACCTGCATGCAAGTGCATGCTAAAGGCCTCAAAATCTTAAGAAACAAAGCAGCCAACCCACCCCCACCCCCCTGAGCTTGGTTAAATGACAGCAGCCAAATCTGCCAGAACTTTCGGAAGCCCAACTCGGATGCGAATGCCTAGGATTAGTAATACAAGCTATCGCAAATTAAAAAGGTGTCAAATAAGAAATGAATGGTCTGGAAATTAAGGGATTTTGAGGAAAAATACCAGTAAAGTTTTTAAACTCTGCTGATGTCCTAATATTTGAGTTGGAATGAGGAATTCCCTCTGGGGATTCAAAAGTGGAAGAGAAACACTGTTGAGTGTGTCCTGCACTAAATTAGCTGTAACTAAATTGGACACAACAGTATGTTGGCTGTTTATCCTCATACAGTTGAAGTTCACTTGTTCTAACTAATGCCATATCCATGACAGGAACACTTTCCTCCTCAACTTAATTTGCAAGGGAAAAGTAAAGAGGATCTTTATAGAAAGCAATTTCCTTGAAAAGTACCAGGAAAAAAAATAAACTGAAACTACTTTATCATCCTATGAATAATGCTTTTGATTTCTCAACAGGCAATTGCATTGATAATGGAGCTTTCAATTAAAAATATGACAACAAAATACTGAGGGTTAAATATTTTATTTTGTAATAAGCCTTACACCGAGATCACTAAACATTTTGTGTATCACCCAAATAAGTTACATTCATTCTGAGCTTTCATGCAGTTTTAAAAAAGTTAAATTTCTCAAAAAATAATTTTCAAGTGAGCTGTAATAAACTCTGCATAACCAAGCCAGAATTCTTTCTCATCAAGTAAATATTCCAGTTTTCCCTCCTGCTTTGACAGTACAGACCAATTACAAAAACCCCTCTAAATTTTCACTAATTAAAAACGGAGACTCGCTGAAATTACCGAGACTTTCTGAATACCGTGAATAACAGTAGTAACGCTTCAAAGTATGAGCGAGACCACGGAGCTGTGTTGCAAGAAGAGACAATTCGCCTGAGGAGAATCCTAAAGCATCTCAAATGAAAACCTCGTTGCGAAGAGACAGACCGCCACTGACGAACATGCAGAAACACAAACGCGAGGCAGCAAACCTCACATTCACAAGCTTAACCACAACTCTTATGGGGACACAGCGTTTATGCAGTCTTCTACTATTTCGAAAAGGTAGTGATATATATCAGTCCTCCGAGCAATGTCAAGGGCCGTCTCATCCAAGTTGTTCCTCAGGTCTGGTTTCACGTAGCGATTCATCAGCAAGAGCTCAAGGGTTTCTCTACTGTTTTTGTTTCCTGCAGCGATATGCAACGGCGTCAGCAAACCATTTGTCTGCGCGTTGATGTCGGCACCCTGCTGAAGTAAGAAGGCGGCCACTTTCGTATTGTTCCACTTACAGGCGCTGTGCAGAGGCGTCCAGCCGTCCACCGTCTGCGCGTGAACGTCTGCCCCTTGGGCGACCAATTCATGTGCCATGTCCAAGTGCCCGCTGTAGGCAGCGCGATGGAGGGGAGTGTACTGATCTTCATCACGGGCATTAACGGGAGCCAGCTTTTCGGAAAGGAGCCTCTTCACTGTACTCAGCTATTTCAAGAAAACAGGGAATTTAATATGAAACGCCGCAAGCAAGATGTATGGCTTTTACTGTTCTGAAGTTTTATGGAAAAGCAATTTCTGTCAGTCTCAGAAAGGCTGAAGAGCAACAAGAAATCTTAAAATGAAACCAGTTATTGTTACTGGGGTGGGTTGTTTGCTTGTTTGGGTTTTTTTGGGTGGGTTTGTTTTGTTTTTAGAGATACAACATGAACACTAGTTGCCATGCCTTAGGAGTACCGTTCCCTTACCCCCTCTCCCCATTCACTGTGAAGACCTAAGTACCTCCACGGGACTGCAGATGGAGCTTGCGTGCGTAAGAAAGGCAACGAATGAAAATAAATGTACACAAGGGGGCAACAAGCCACGCAACATGAATCTTGGTCGTCTCTCCCTCACTTCCAAGAATAAAAAGCTTTTTTTTCTTTCCATAAAAAGACAGGAAAGCGGTCACCCATGATCTGCATACGGAGCTTTTGAGAAAATAAGATTTCGGATACACCCTCTCCACCCCAGGTAAAAGGCTTACTTGCCATGAAGAAAGCCTGCCATGCTTTCAGTGTATAGAAGCTGGAGAAGAGTGCTGTTACTTTCGCTTTGCACTACAGTCAAAGCTTTTGTTCTGAAAGCGAATGGATCCAGAGATATTTGGGGGGGGCGGCTACAAAGGGAGATGTTTTACATACAGCGGCTTGCAAAACCGGATCAAAAGAGTTTGGAGAGAGAAAGGAAAGCGCCGGTCAGTTTTTGTTTGTGGATGAAACTGTAGATATCTGCTCAGAATAGCATTCTTGTCCGCGGTACATATGAACAGAGTAAATGCCTTACCCGATTATTTTCAGCTGCCCAGAGCAGCAATTTCTCTGGATTTTTTTCCATTTTTTTTTCTTGCATTTCGTACCATTCCTCGCTTCTTTCTTGTTCGTCATCGTCCTCGTCAGACTGCCCTGACCAACAGCTCTGAGTTCCTACGGGAATCAAATGCCTGTGTGTCTCCAGCAGCTCCAGCTGGTTAAAATTCTCCATAAACTCCTCGAACAGCTCGCTGTCATCATCTTCCCCGCCGATCTGTTTGTCTTTATTCATTTTCAGCCTGCAGCTGTACGGAGCAGATACACGACCGCATGTAGAGTCCGTGCGTTAATTGCCAGCGAAGGCACCCGACGGGCGGCGCGGAGCGGGGCTCCGGGGCGACGCCGAGGACCCTCCGCGAAGGGGGCTCTGCCGGGGAGCCCCCGG